GACTTGCTCTGTGTCCTGTAGTTCAAGTAAAGATCATAATCTTGATTGTGTGTGCTCATTACGACATGGGGGGCATAACATCACTTGGAGAATTGTTCCAGGAAATTGAAGTAAGAGACCTTTGTATGCTTAGTTCGAACAAGTACCTGTTACTTCAACATGGCTCATATGAGCAGCTTGTTCTAGTGAGAGAAATACAACTTACGTTTGTTTAAAAAGGATTGTTGAATTATATGGTTAAAATGCAAGTTTCAGATGGGGGGGGGGTCGTTGTTTTTCTTGGACAAGACACTCAAACCCTCCTGAATTCTTTGGGAAATTAGACTATCTTTTAACAGGGATGTGTGGAATTTTATTGACTGTCCTTTGTGAACAATTTAAGACTTATCTTCATTTGAACTTTCAATCAGATGAATAGCAGAGCGGTAAAATTTATTTTCATGTGTATCAGAAGGCAGTATAGTTGTGCTGTCTGGATAGCACAATTTGAGGGACAAATGAAGGGGCAAAGGAATTTCATGCATTCCAGTGAAGTATCTCTAGTTGTCCATGGTTGTTCATGGTCCGGTATACTAATTAAGCTCCTTTTCTTTGCCACTCTGTTCTCCAATTGCATCTAGTTTCAAGGTTTTTAGCTACTGACTCCTTGGCATGCTCCATTCATTATTTCAGTTTTGTTCCTAATGCTGCAGGCCTTTGAATTTTGGCACTCTGGTGTGTTATCCAAGATCTTGTTACTTGTGTGTGTTGTGTTCTTCCCCCCACTCCCCCTCCTTTATCCTCTATAAAGTACTCTTGCTTTTTTTGTCTGCAAACTGCAACTTGAGTTTTTTGGGCGCTTCCTGTATAGACTGTCCTTTAGTTTGAATCCACAAAGTCAGCATTTTAAGTCAGGGTTCAGAGGCACTCAGCGATGCATCTCCTTCGTATTTATACACATAGGTCCATTTTCACTTAAAAAAAATTTTTTTTTCTTATTACTCAGAAACCTCCTTAATCATTCTTGGAAGCCAGAAGCCAGGAACTTTGTTTGTAGATGGCCCTTTCCTTGTAGGAGGAACTACTGGAAGCCATAGATACCGAGATGATGAGCAAGGAATTTACTGTGGTTAAAATCAGGATTTGGTTGAGTAGTCATTGAGACAGTTGCGTTGCCAGATGATGTTGCAGAGTTACCATTTCTGAGGAAAACTTTGCATCTCCCCTCCCTCCCCCCAGCACACTTCTGCCATGGTTCTGTTCAGAGTTTCGCTGCTCTAAGGCAAAAACAAAGGGTGGCATAAATTTGCCTTTAGATATGCCCCTAAACCTCACACGTAGAGTGCTTTTTCAGCTTTAATAGAAATAGGAAGGATATCTGTCTCCAGTAGTTGTATACGTGGTTCACGCATCCTGCAAAGTCAAGGCTACCAGAATAGAGGACTGGTTCTCTCTTCCCTTATGGAACTGCCATTTTCTCACATTGTTGCTGAGCAGTTGGGCTGGGTTAAGAAGGGCAAAGGGGAAGGGTACTAAAATTATATGGAAAATGAGGGTCTTAGAATGAGGAGTCCTTTCTAGAAGATGGCTGAAGAAATATAAAAGAGGACTGACTTAACCATGTTTGCATCTAACGCTTCTGGGTTGACTTCTCTCCTGTTAATGTTGTTACACAACAGAGTCGTGCTCTAACTTGGGAAATTGCACTCCTATACATTAGCTCTGATTTGCACAGTGTGTTATATGTGCTTAACGAAACATGTCATTCCAGCCTAATCAGTTTAGTGCACAAACCACCTCGTGAAAGAGTGAAAAGAGTGATGTATTAGATAGGCACTGATGCGTGAAGGATTGTGCTATAGATATGGAGAAAAGAACAGGTGTGAAGGGTGTTTTCCCAGTAGGAAAAGGAATATGGTCGTCTTCTGGCAGCCTTTTTTTAGGATTTTGTACTCTAATTTAAAGTAAAACTTAAAATTGTTGTTACTTTGAAACTCTCTAAATTTAATTTTTAAGCCACGTCTAATGGGGGGAGGGGAAAAACTGTGGCAGATTGCTTTCTGACCTTTAAGAATTCATAAATCAGTCATATTAAACTCCAATTTTCTGAACAAAAAATGAAATTCTTCAAGAACTGTAGGCTTGGCATATTCACCCTACCCACAAATAAACTGTGCTTTCCCTTTTGATTTAATTAGGACTTTTAAGAACTAGCCTGCTAGTCTACAGGTGTAGATTTGGCATTATCGTAGAAATATCGTTAACTAGAGTGTTGCAAATGAGGTAGCCGCAGTCTGTTACTGTGGCTTTTAGAATGTGAGTACGTTACGCTATGGGCTCTGAATAATTTCCCAAGTAGAAGTTACGTAACTGCATTGTGGTTATCCTTCTGTCTGATTGTGCTCACCTCTGCAGTGGGTAGCTTGCACCCTTAAAGAATCATGTACCAACATCTCACCTGTAAGGCTTAATTTAGAATAGCAACAGCTTTCCCTTTACCTCCTGGGAAGGGATAAGGTAACTTGATTTTAAATGCAGAGTAGACTTGTTAATTTTTGAGGCATCTTGATAGTTGTGTATGATTTGCTAGAACAGCATATGACCTGTCTGTATGCATCTTTAATTGTGGTTTAGCTGACAAACTACTAAGAAGGAAGAACAATTTGCAAAGCACAATTCTGTTTGAATATTTATACGTACTAATATTGAGAGATTAGAAGGAGGGCTCTGCCTTTTCTACTCCGAATTTGACAGTGCTCATGGTCAGTTTGACTAGATCTTCTGTTCTTCTTAATGCTTGTGGGTGGTGGTGGTGGTGGTGGTGGTTTTTTTGGTTTTAGTTTTTTAAAATACGACAGTGAAGAATGTAAAATACTTTGCAAAATATGGTATTTGTCAGGGTAGCTTCTGATCTTTGAGCTGTGAATTAAGGTGAGAATACTGAATGACCAAGTTTTATTTAATTACATCTTCAGCAATGAGAAAGTATTAGGGTTTAGTTTAAGTCCTACTGCTGTAATGGAATGAATAAAGTCTGTTCTGTCCAATAATTCCCCATTTGATTTATGGCAGCAGTCTGTAATCATTTTGATCACTCTGACTTCATTAGAGTTGTATGTGAATATAAAAAGGCCTAAATTATTTATATATGTATTTTTCCTAGCAACTGCAGTAATGTGAACCTCATGCATATGCTTAAGATACAGGGATGAGTGTAGACTGCATTTTGTTGGCTAGTTACAGTTTGTGTGGGCATCGTGTCTTGTGTTCACTTGAGAAGAGACAGAATTTAAGAGCAGAGGTTGGCGTGAGAGGAAGCAGAGGTATACTGCTGCTGACCTCTCTCCGTTCAGCTAAAGTACGTGTGGCTTCTGTTTTTGTTAACAAAGTATATGAGCAAAGGAGCGTGTGTTCAGTCCCTGGGCATCACGCAAGAATCACTGTTGTGGTGAGAACAAATACAAACATTCTTTGGTTGTTTATTTTAACATATTCAGATGTTTCAAAAAGGGGTTATAGTTGCCTGGAAAAGACCTAATCTGAAAAGCTTTGGTGGATACATATTTTTTCATTTATAAATGGAGGTGTATTAGAAGAAAAACACGTTATCAAAAAGTGCTGGTGTTACCACTCAGAAAACTGATTCGGTGTGCTCTGCGTACAGGTTAACCTTCCAAAACATCTAGTAAATTGAGATTTTTTGCTAGTAGAGCAGCTTAGTTGGGTCCTTAAATAAAATATGTCTTTGAGACTCTTCTCACAGTCCATTTTTGTCGGCTATCTTCAAATAGAAAAGCTTGCAGTCTTAGTCTATTACCTTATATCGTATAACAGGGATTCGCACGCTGCATGGTGCTTCCTGGGGCAGAATTTGCAAGTATGTAAAATGTGTGACCTGTTTTGTGTGGGTATTTGTGTGTGTGTACGTGTGTTTGGTTTTTTTATGAATGCGCAAATAAACTGATGTGGATTAGAAGGGCGGGTTGAATGGTGAGGGTGTGAGAGCTGTCAAGATAAACCAGTCATTTTATGCTGCCTGCAAATATAATTCTTCATCTCTCGTGTTGTAGCAAATATACTCATCCTAATGATGGGAGGAGGAGGGTAGGGTGTGCAGTGTATTGGTCTGGCTTGAATAAAGAAGCATGAATTTGCAGTACTTGTAATTTTTTTTTGTCTAGATTCCTTTAACTTGTCAGGGGCAGTTGTCTTTCAGTGAAGCATAAATACATTAAGGTTTTAAGTAAATCTGCAGCACAGACATCTGAGAAGCTTGCTGTGTAATTTAACTGAAAATCTAAGGATGAGCTTTCACAAGATGGCTGAGCCAAACTAATGACTTGCTGCTGCCTAAAGGGACAGCTGCTCTGTTGCTTCTGTGTCTTGCTCCTGGTTATGCAGTCTTGCCATTTTCTTTATGCAGGCTCTGGCATTCATCGTGACCCTTCAGATCACTTTATCTGTTAAAAATAAACAAATAAATATGCTTCCCACAATAAGAAAAATAGCCAGTTCCCCTTCGCTTCCCCACCTCTGTCAAGGTAAGGAGGACTTTGTGACTGGGAGTCTAGGGAATGCCACTGTCCTGGAAACGTTGAGCTCTTTGGTCTAGCCATCCCGGGGAGCATCACTTTTCAGATGTGTGCCAGTTAAAGTAATCTGAAGGAACACTTGTTGTGCATATCAATAGTAGAGGCTTTTGTCAGAACCATGAATGCTAGTGGAATACAAATTCTTGAAGTATAACAGGTAAAAAGACTTTAACAAAAAAATAGGGAGTACAGTTCAGCTAGTAGCAATGTCCTTGTTCAAATTAGATGAAAGCAGTGCAAATTTGCGGTGAAATCTTTAGATACAAATGTCTCCTTTATATCTGTGCTGTTTTTTGTTTTGTCATCCTAACATTTTTTGGACTTTCTATTATTTAATAGTTACCAATAATATATTTAAACATCTACCTATGTTCAACAAATAACATTCTTTTTTCTTTTTCTTCTTTTTTCTTTTTTTTTTTATTTTAGAACTGAAGGGAAGTCATCCAGGGAGCATTTTTAGACAAGCCAAAGATGGAGAAGCATAATGCCCAAGGGCAGGGAAATGGGCTTCGTTATGGTCTGAGCAGTATGCAAGGCTGGCGAGTTGAAATGGAGGATGCACATACGGCTGTGATTGGTTTGCCAAATGGACTTGATGGATGGTCGTTTTTTGCTGTATATGATGGGCATGCTGGATCACAGGTTGCCAAGTACTGCTGTGAGCATTTATTAGATCACATCACGAGCAACCAGGATTTTAAAGGGCCAGATGGGCCACCATCTGTGGAAAGCGTAAAGAGCGGCATCAGAACAGGTTTTCTGCAAATTGATGAACACATGAGAGTCATCTCTGAGAAGAAACATGGCGCAGACAGAAGCGGGTCAACAGCTGTGGGTGTCATGATTTCTCCCCAACATACATACTTCATCAACTGTGGAGACTCGAGAGGTTTGCTTTGTAGAAACAGGAAGGTTCACTTCTTCACCCAGGATCACAAACCAAGTAATCCACTGGAGAAAGAGCGTATACAAAATGCAGGTGGCTCTGTAATGATTCAGCGTGTGAATGGTTCTCTTGCTGTGTCAAGGGCACTTGGGGACTTTGATTACAAATGTGTCCATGGGAAAGGTCCTACAGAGCAGCTAGTCTCACCTGAGCCTGAAGTTTATGAAATTGAGAGATCAGAAGAAGATGATCAGTTCATCATACTGGCTTGCGATGGTATCTGGGATGTTATGGGGAACGAAGAGCTATGTGACTTTGTAAGATCCAGACTTGAAGTCACTGATGACCTTGAGAAAGTTTGCAATGAGATAGTTGACACCTGCTTGTACAAGGTAGCCAGAATTGGGAGAAGTTTATTATGTTTTCACTATTAGAAGTTTATGAATCAGTTAAGAATAAGTTTTGGGTCTAGTCTATAAGTGTCATATCTTTCAGTGGTAACCTGACTTTGAAAATAATTATCAAGGTTCCCATAAAAATGGTGATGGGGGAGCACACAACATAAACAGTATGGCTTTTTGAGCGTCTTTGGTTGATTAGGAGTTCAAAATAACATACAGGTACGTTGTGATCACGGGGGAACTGCAAGCTGATGGAAACCTAAGGGTAAGCCAGGGACCATAACTGCCCTTTTCTGCTTCAAAGCATACCCTACGAAACCTCAACTCTTAAGTCTTAATTAGACTAGAGAATGGTCTTTCCCTTTCTCCCTCTTCTTTCCTGTGCACATAGTAATATTACTGTCTCAATTACACCAAGATAAATGCAGAATGATTGAACCTTGAAATCATATATTTTGCAGTTTAAAATTTTTGATTGTATGAAGATCTGACTTCCTAAGTTTGTTTTTTTCCTGGTTTAGTTACTCTAGTTCTTGTTCAGTGGTATGTGATACGGCTCTGAAACTAATTCAAGTAGAAGAAGATGGGGCTGTTTTGTTTAACAGATCTGGTTTTATCTACAGTAACTTCCATTAATGTTAATAAATTGTAGGATGGTGCAGTTATAGAAGAGTTTTGAAATATTTACTTTCATAGCTTGTCACTTAATTTTCCAAAGGCAAGCTTAGTCATAGCGTTGATTTAAAAAAAAAAAAAAAACAAAAAACACAGTATTTTTGATACTGAAGAGACAAGACGGCATCTTGACTCCTGACACATAGCTAACAAGGTCATTGTTTCCCTTTTGGAAAATAAGCAGTCCTTTTCCAACATTTGAGAAGATTGTTGATGCATATATTTTTGATTATAATTTTTTCTGGTAATCCTGAAAGCGAATACCAGGGTATGAACACTACCTTGCTGATGTTGTAAGCTTTGCAATAGCTAAATGATGTCAGCATCTCCTCATACATCCATACGCACCTGTATGAAGTGCTTCCCTCTGTTCTTAGTCTTGTTGGCTTCAGTGAATTTAACCAATGGTAAAAGTTAAGTGTGTATATGAACGTTTGTAGATGAGGGCACTTGGGGCATTGAAAATAAACTAAACAGTTACTTTTCATATGCAGAATGTAGTTGCTTTTTAATATGTTCAGGTGTTAGGGTTGTGTTTAGTTTGAGTTCTAAAAGTTTGCATTTCAAAGAACACTTTTTTTTTTTAATGCCCAAGCAACTGCCTTTACAGGCCAGAGCTGCTTTCAACTGGTCTTTTAAACAAACTCTCAATTTTTGTTTGTAAAAAAGAAAAGAAATACACAACCTCTCTAAGCAATAGCAGTGGTTTTAGGTGGAAGCAGTGTCTGAATTGAACAACTATCTAATTATTGTTTTTAGGCAAGCAAAGGTTTTGTGTACTCATTTAATATTCTAGCTGTTTTCTCAAAATGATTGGATGGTACTTCAGATGGAACACAGCCTTAATTACGCATCACTTATTGGTAATGTCAGTTTAAAAAAAACAGTGGGCTGTCTGTAATTGGCTACTCATAGTTTTCAGATCATAAAAGGAGAAAGAACAAAATGACTTAAAGTAGTTTGTGCAGAATGATTGAGCAAGCAGACTTAGGGAATTCCGTAAGCAAAAAGAAAACTGAAGGTTAATACTAATCCGTAGGAACAAAATGTATTCTAATGTCATGTGATTGGTAATTTTTGTGTGTGTGAAAATGCATTTATATGGATTTAATCTAGTGTGTATTTATTCTCAAAATCATTTTTTCTTTTCCACCAGGGAAGTCGAGACAACATGAGTGTGATATTGATCTGTTTTCCGAATGCACCAAAGGTATCACCAGAGGCGGTGAAAAGAGAGGCAGAGTTGGACAAGTACCTGGAAAGCAGAGTAGAAGGTGGATCATTTAAAAAAAAATAAGTAACTTTGTTTCTAAACAGACCCCCTCTTCCCCTTGAAACAGCTAAACTCTTAACCCATACAGGCTTCCTAATAAACCTTCAAGTGCCATTGGCCATCTAGTGTACATCTCTGAAAAAGGCACTCATATACACCTGCTGTATGTCCCGATGATAAAATTCTGCTATGAAGGTGCAGCAGCCTATAGCCCTGAAGATTGTTCAGGATGGCAGAGAAAAAAAATCATTCATGCCCATGGGTCCTTTGACAGCACTAACTTCAGACCAGTAAACCCTGGTTCTTGTCCCATGGAGTTAAATGAAATACTAGAATATCTGGTAAAGTGTCTATGAAGATGGCAATTCAAGTGCCATTTTTTTTATAGCTATGTACGAGTTCCATGCTTTCGCTGTAGTAATATTTTATTATAGGATTCTTCAAGGGTTACAGCTTGATTACTGTCATCTTAAGGGCAACAGCTAACATATACTTAAAAATACGTCAGAAGTTTGTCAAAGCTTATCTTTACACATTCACGATGAACTAAAGTTGAGAGCACATCTTATTCTAAAAATAACTTTGAAAATTTTGTTAAATCTGTATTTCTGGACTTCTTAAACTTTCAACATAAACAGCAAATCTTAGGCATTTTTGATCACCTAACAACAATGGTATTTCAAATCAATTCAGTGTAAGAGATTTCTCATTAAAACTGGATTATAGTGCCTTTAGGTGTTTGAAAATGAACACAGATTGGAGTTTGTTCCGAAACATAAGACACACTGTGTGCGTTGTTTGCATAGATTAAGTCTATTTTTGAAGTGGACTCCTCTAAACCTATATATTACAAGTCTAGTCTTGTGTTTATGCTCCAGGAATCCTTAGTAGCACGCTGGGCACGATAGTGGAGTTCTTAGCAAGTGTGGTACCAGTGATTAGTGAGCTACAGGAATATATTGTGCACTTTTTTCCTCTAATTTGCATGAAGATAAAGTGCAACTTCTGAAATTTTGTAGTCTTGCCTACATGAGGACTTTGGGTTCAGACAAATTAATGTGCAGTTTGCAGCGCTTATGACCTTTGTAGATGCTCCTTCAGAAAGTATCACCTTTTTCGAAAGCCTTGTTCCTAACGTCTCAGTGAACTGCAGTGGTTTTGCTCCTAACAAACATCTAGACAGACAGTATTTTAATTTCCCACTTGCCTAATTGGGAAAGTTGGTGCATGTTAAGCCATAGTGAATCTTTTTGACACTGTGTAGCAAGGACATCCACATGCATGATAGCACCATGTGAGTTAAGTGTCAGATGGCTCTCTCCACTTCAAAGCAGTGAGCAGCTTTGCACACAGACGCTTAAAGAGCTTACTATATATGCCCACTCACAAAATTGGTGGAGAACAAGTATGCTCTGAATTCACACTTTAATTTACACCAGCTGACTCTCCCATGTTGGCAAGTGTTACCTTCATATCTTATTTTATCCCAGTTCAGACAAACTAATGACATGGAGTACGAGGATGTGTTCAAGTTAAGGGTGCATCTTCAGCTGGCCCTACTGGCCTAGATATGTTACAGCGAGGAAGGTTAAGTCTTGTGCAGACACCTCAGCAAATGAAGAACGTAAACACTGGAACCGTATGTGATTGTTGTACATACAGTGGTGAATTTGGTTGCCAGTACGTTGCATTTATACAAATACAAAATTTCAGGAATTAATGATATGTCAGACTTGTACAGAGGCAGAAGGATCCTATATATAGTTACAAAGCACTTTAATACTAATGTAATGGGGTGATGTCTGAACAATTTCAGAAAATATATTGTACTTCCCCTCAAAGGTCAATGCTTCTTTTTTCAAGTTGTCCTCAATCTTTTGCCTAATGTTGCACAAAGATACTATTTAAATTTATGAGTATGTAGTAAACACTATTCAACCTGACTGATTATCAGCTGTGTATGCAGAACTTGATCTTGTAGCTCTTACTCATGAGGGAAGTTAAGAGGCTGAACTAAAGTAGAGCTGCAAGAACAAGTGTTGATGGACTTTTAACTTAATCATTCTTATGCAATTAAATTGTTTCATGCTGTAAATGGATTATGCAGTATTAGCTAGTAAGGTAGGACTGTTACAGTATCTGAAACTTTCAACACTACAGTAAATAATCCTACTGTTATCCTAAGATGCTTGAGGAATGGCGGTGCTTAATTTTAAAAGCCTTATTTTCAGCTAAAAGAACTAGAAAATGTAAAGACTACTTTTAGAGTTTTTCTTACTAATCTGTAGTATCAGTTTAAAGCTAAAATCTATTAAAATGGAAATTTGGTGAAAATGCATATTATGTTTTTTTTTTTTTTGCACTTCAGTATTCTGTCTAGTCCAACAGGTAATGAGATTTGATGCTTACTAATGTGCATTTTTTCCGGTTGATTAATATTAGTACTTTTCTTCCCTCAGCCTAGAATATATCTTTATACTGTTAATAAGTAGTGAAAATTGTAAGATTGAAAAGGGCTTAGTACTAATGATAATCTGAACAATGAAAGGCAATTCAGATAAAAAGAAAAAAAGCGTAGAAGGTTTCCTACTTACCATGTTACTTAGGACTCTCCTTTTATTGATCTTGATACGTTTGTGGTCCAGCTTCATAACTACTCTAACTAATAATGATAGACGAAGCAAGTGTGGAAAAGCATCTTTGTGCCATTACTTGCGATAAATCAGTGTTACTCTTAAAATGTCTTGTGAACTTCTGGACAGAAGTAATCAGTCATTCCAAAATACATTGCTGCTATTTGCACTATGTGAGTTACCGATGTGTTGACTCTCTTACAAAACTTGACAAGCGTCTTGTTCCGTTCTCAGTTTTTTTACCTATAAGCATTCAGTTAGTAGATTATCCTTGCGATATTTGTATCCATAAAGAGAGAATTTTAAGTTAGCCGATATATGTTCCTTCCCATATTTCCACGGAATCTGAAACTTTGACTTTTACTTAAACTTTGTGTGGAATTCCCATTCAGAATATGAGATCAGTAGATGTATTTTGAATCCTTTATTTTAGGGTTGTAAGAATGTTTTTCCTTTATTTGATGCCATGAAATTGTATAGAAGGTTTAAAAGTAAATTAAAAGGAGGTTAACAAGATGTATTGAAAAAAGACAATTTCAATAAATTAAAAAGAGCTAGCAGACCGACTCCATTTGTTGTGTCATCAGTGTTCATTCAGTCTGTATCTGTAGTTCTATCAAAATACAAATGTATTAATTTAGTGGAGACTGTATGTTAAATGTACTGCAGTTACAGGTTGTGAAACTGTGTAGCATAGGTAAACTATAAATTCCTTATTTTTGTACAGCAGAACTCTAGCTCTAGCACAATGTAGAATATACTAGATGTTCAGAATTGCACAATAAAGGAATTTGGCAAACCAAATCTGAGATCTTTGCTTCTTATTCAGATTTAAGAATGTTAGATTATTTACTAAATGCTAGATGGTAAAATGAATTTTGGCCATAGACTTTGAGGAAATGGCAAGTTTCTGAGGTATCTAAGGTGTGTGGTGTCATATATTGAATTTTTTCCTACTTACAATGTAGCCTTTGAATTAAACAGCTTAAAGCTTTGTGTTGCAGTGTTTGACGCTGACTGAGGACTAGACAGTGTTTCCACTGTACCTTGCAAATAACTCATACAACCTGACTTGCAAAATTGATTATTTCCATAAACAAATGCGGCCTTGAAAAACTACTGTATGCACAGAAAGTAATGCACCGTTTTTTAACTAAAAAGAACTGGACACATTTTGGTTTTAGAAGCTTTTAATGTGCCTTATCTCACTTACTAAATTATGAAGCTGAAGCTTGGTATGCTATTTTGTTTTTATCATTTACAGTAAAAACTGACTGCTAAGATACCTCTTTCAAAAGCGGGTACTGATGAATTCCTGCTACTCATTAAGTTGTGTAAATGCTTTAGTGCATGAAGAATAATGTGTGTGTGTGTGTGTTTGTATATATATATATATATGTACACATTATTGTATGTGTGCTGCAGTATTCACTTGAAGATCAGCACCTCCAAGTCATAATTCATATCTTTTAGAATTCTGAGTTCACAGTTTACATAAAAACTGAGATGCATTTTTTTAAAAAAATTCTCTTGTTCTTTAAATAGGGATTTCATAAAACTTGAAAGTGACCCTTCAAGGGTGGTAAGATCTAAAAGCTCTTTTGAGTTCAAATAAAGTTGTGTTGCTATTTCAGAAAACCAGGCCTAAGAATAAAGCTAAATTAGTTTTGTAGCAATACTTGGGTGTGGCTACAGTACAAATTCTCTTCACTCAAATTGGGATGGATCAGCTTTAAATAATTGCCTAATATTTGCATATCCCCTAAAAGAGTTGAGGATGGAACTGTCACTTAACTCCGTCCCTGGCATTTAATTTGTAGTTACGTTTTTAATGTGTGCATGTTACTATCATGCAGTGAGGTACAAGTATTGGCTTATGTACATACAGCTATGGGATTTACTTTTGATGTATTTAACCTTTTTGTTCCTTCAAAATACTATGTTTTCTGTCACGGCAATAACTTTCTAACTGCTATTGCAGTGTTAAGGCTGATGTTAACATCTGCCTCATGCTCAGTGCATTTTGTTGGGAAGATAAAATAATGATATAGCAGTAAAGCCATTGCAAAAATTATTCCCACTTTTATTAAGTAGTTATGTATTTCTAAAATCCATGTGCATGTTAAAAGTTTGCAGGGTATCTTATCAAATCCATTACAGGTTCGTTCTTATGGTACCAAAGTTAGTTAACATTTACCGTGTTGAATATGGTCTGTAATTTTTTTTATATTAAAGTTAAGCTGCGTTTTTATAAAACTGAGTGTTTCAATCTTTGTAAGTTAAATTTGGACTGCACTTACAAAAAAAGTACTTCTGATTCCCAGAGATCATAAAGAAGCAGGGTGAAGGAGTACCAGACTTAGTCCACGTGATGCGTACGTTAGCAACTGAGAGCATCCCAAACCTCCCGCCAGGGGGTGAATTGGCAAGCAAGTGAGTTCACATTAGTGTAAATGTGGTTTTTGATTTAAGTTGAAACTTAACTGTATGGCCACTCTTAAAAGTGGGGGGAGGGAAGAAGGGTTCAGGACAGAAGGTGATCTGTTCTCCAGTTCTCATTCTTGAATTTTTCTATACGAAAAGGAAAAGCATGAGAACAAAGTAAACTGTGGATCACTACTAAAACTAAACATCAAACTGCAGTTGTGGAAAAGACCGAGGACTTTTTTAAGGGTGGCCTAAGTGTCTGTTTTTTGTAATTAACTGGGTTTTCTGGGTGGGAGGTTACATTTAAGGATGCAAAAATAATACCATTACTTTAGTAGTAATTTGATAAATAGTTCCATACTTTGTCAAGAAGCGATGTACTTTTGATATTTTGCTTGGCAGCTTTCTTTTCTTGTCTGTAGCTAAGGCAATGTTGCAATTCCTAAAAAGTTTGCTTTTTTCCCCTCTCTCTGCTTGTGACAAATCTGAATATGGATAGAAGTCTATCAAAAAAGATAGGTGAGATATTAAATTTATAACTCTGTGTAGGCTGACTTTGTCCTTAAAGAAGAGTTTAGTATTCGTGCTCTTTGGACTTCTAAATTGATGCTCAACCTTTGAGGAAGCAGTGTGTCTAGCTTTTTTGCACAACAACAAAGTGCATTTTGGACCAAAAGATTTTTCATTGATCTGTACTGTTTTAAATTGGATTGAACAGATGTGCTATGGGCTATCTATTTTTAATCCTTCAGACCACAGTTTTTATATTGTTACACTGAAACGTGAAGAGTCTAAGTGTCTAATGGAGTAAATGATGTCTGAACTTTAAAGATGACTCCCACAAAACAAAGTTGTTCGCATAAGAACTGTTTGAGTATGAGACGAAGGGATGGCAGTTTTATATGTAATAGTAGTGTCTATTTAGGGTGTGTTGCTGTCGTCCTGAAATACCAATAAATCAGTCATTCATGAAATATGGCGTGCACACACAGATTGTTTATCTTAATCTTCTTTGGCTAGCAGTAGTATCAAGGTTGTGAGAAAGCGCTGAAGTCTCTGAAGTGACTGACTTCAGTAGGATTACCTGCTTAGGTGATGCTAGCTTGAACAGGGATTGACAGAAGTACAGGTTTAGTTGGGTGTTAGTGTAACTCAAAGCAATACTGCCAATTTGGAAGGAAGATGACGCTTTTCAAGAAACCTGCCTTTATTTAATATCAAAGATACCTATTGCTGAAAGATCAGAGAAACTCTTCAGTTCATGCGTGCAACATCCTTTGTGTGTAATTGCTTGTTTTTATTGCTTTAAATTCCGCTTGTTCTTCCATGCCGTGTAATCATTCACTAGAACTATGATATTTACACTGCTGCATGATAGTATCTGACTTTTCAATGCGTATTTACTGGATGATTATAAGGTCTCTCGTCTGCTTTTTTTTTTTTTCTTCTGATGCCCTCCATTGCGACTTCTCTGCATGTATTCGTGAGCAGTTGTTGAGCAAGGTTGTTCCTTGAAGCTTGTATTGTATTGCGGTTGTGGTCTGCTACTTTGTCATACTTCTTTTTGCAAAGAGGGGATCTGAAAGAAAGTTATTTTTAAAGTGAAATTTATACATCCTGTCTCTTGCTCCCTTCTTTCCTTCCTGTTCCCCCTTTAAAGTTTATTCCTCATGTGCTAAGTGTAAGGCAAAGGCTTCCTCTTCCTTCAGTCTCCCAATTTTTAATACTATTAAACAAAAACCAAAAAACAAAACACTTTTACCCTATGTAGAAACAGCTCATGTTGCCTGTTTACCTATTGTTTGCAATTTTCCTATATTTTCTAGAAAAGCCAGGAATTCAGAAGACTAGAGATATCGATCACAAATGATCTTAACTATGCTAAACAAAGATTTTTTAAAAATGGAGGAAGCTATCAAGATGCATGAAATGTTTTTGCTAAAAATCAGACAGACTTCTCGGGATGAAGAAAAAGTACCTAAAACTGCCGTTTTCTGTTTTACTTCCTTCTGGGGAAAAGTTACAGGAGACTATTGGACATGTTATTGGAAACTAGTATTGCTTCATAAATAACTTTACCAGGATTTTAATGGAAAGTGCATTTCAGAATTTAATGAGAACAAACATGTATTTTAGAATGCAATTTCAGCACACCCGGAAAATACAAAGTTGATATTCCTTTCTGAAAGTGTCATAGTATATTGAGTACTACTGCAGTATTCCTCAGGCACACAAATGAGCAGAGCATTCAACTTCCATCATGTTCTCTAATGCCCTCTTTCAGAGACAGACACACATCACCAAACTAAAAAGCACTGCAGCCTGATCTGAGTGTCAGATTGTGCTGTTTTCTTGTTGAACTCTGACCAGTATTCAGCCTTGTTTTTCTTGAACCTAAAAGTTTTAAAGAATGAGGTAGCTATGTATCCATGTTTAATGAAACTTCGTACTAGCTTGCATTAAACTTGGTTCTGTGAATTTAAAACCTTTTAAATTTGCAGCTTAAATTACAATTGTACTTCAGGAATTTGAGTTGAGGGGGAAAAAAAGACACAGCCTTAAAATTCTGTGTTTTTTGGTCTAGGCGGAGTGTGATTGAAGCTGTTTATAACAGACTGAACCCCTACAGGAATGATGACACTGTAAGTACCTTTTCTCTCGCATTATCTCTCTCCTACCCCCCAGTAATTTTAGCTGTTTATGCAGAAATGTGTTGCTGATTCTTTGGTAAAAGACCCCCTTTCCCCTAACCCTATCCCTACCCCTCAAAAGGAAAGTAATCGCAATGTTGTGTTCTTTGGACTACGTCTTGTGATTGTTTCCTGATGGCTTCTGCTGATTGTAGTCTCAGAACTCCAGTAGGGTTGGTTAGTTTGTCTTCTGGAATTTCATGACTTGAATCCTGTCTAGGTTTCCAAATGCTCTTCTACCAAATGGTGCAAAGAGTTATATATTTTTCTTTTTATGGGAGACCTCATTTTCCCCCACCCCACTATCAAGAAGGAAAGCGGTGTACTTGTGGATTAAACAGATTTATGACTGTCAGTTTTTATGATGTATTCACTTTCCAAACAGAAAGCATAAGCACTTTCTCGCTCGTAAACATGGTCCATCTTATAGCATGCATACAGTTCAGGTTCTTTTGATATGTCGGTGATTAGAGAACTGTTACGTAAATCCACCGGTTAGCTTTCATGTCAATAGCGGGAGGAAAAAAAACAACTGTAAAATATGAACAGTAATCTCGGTTGCAATTAGATCACTGGGAGCAACATTCAATCATTGAAAGTGCAGTACTACTTAAAGTAGTTAAAATGATCCTTTACTTACCACCAGAAATTACTTGCATGCTTAACTGTGACACAGAAGTGAAATATGTCCAGGCATACATATGAAGTGTGCACTGGCTTTACAGCTGAATGCTACAGTTCGGCAGTTTTCATTTATAATACATTTAGCATAACACTTCCTAGCTACTGGCTGATAAAGGATGCTCTACATTCAAAATACCTGCTATAGTATATTACTCTTCTACAAATATACGGTACGGACTTCTTTGTTTTCTGCTGATGTTGGCAACTCGGATACAGGAAATTGCATACTGAATGGTTGGCATGTAGCTTCTGTGGGGTTTTTTTACTTGCTACTGCTTTTATTCTTCATTCTTGCACTTGAAGCAAACATTTATTTAACTACTCTACTTTGCTATTTTGTTCTTTAAGGGCAGAACTGAAGGATGATTTTAGTGCGTGTGAGTTTTCCTGTGTGTGTATGGGGAGGTGTGTGTGTGTGTGGGTTGTTTTTTTTTTTTTTTCCAACTACACCTCCATGCTAACTGTTCTTCTTTCTGGCTTGTAGTGAAGAAAACTGTTCTGTGCACAAGTTCGAATTCAAGGTGTCAAGTTTTAATGCTAAGAAATTGTTGTATGTGGCATTGCTAGAGACGTAATTAGCCTCTTGCCTCTCAAAAGTATCAGTAAGGCAGTGCTTTTTAACAAGAGGGAATAATATTTCTATTCCTGCAGTCTTAGTAATGATAGGGAAGCACAGCAGTGAAAGCACCAGCATGGACCATTGTTAAAGCCCATCATGGTTCTTAATTACTTGGGAAGACAGTAATGCTAAAATAACCAGACTGCTGTGTATAAGCAGTCTGTTCTGCTGCCTGTGCTTCTGCCTTAGCTGTTGCTCGAGCTACCGAGCTGTGGTCACACTTCTTGGTTGTGGTGTTATCGTGCATACCCGGCTTAGTAGATCAGATGAGGCAGGTGCAAAAAGCTGAATGTGAAATATTCTGAGCAAGGGAGAAGGAAATGGACACAAAGGCAAGTAGATTAAACAGCACTTACTAGAACTTAACTTGTGGTTTTGTACTAGGTTTTTTTATTAATCAGATAACAGGAATCGTGCGTTAAGCGTTTTTCAGGAGTGCAGTAACTACACAAAACCCGCTATTGTCTGGGAGCATAAATGAGCCAAAGTTGCAGATACTCAAGGTATTGAACGTGTAGATGTAATGCCATGCAATGTAGCCTTACAGTTATGATTTAGAGCACTGTATGTCTCTAGTTCCAAATTTTTTCTTAGGTAGGAGGTTTTCTTCCTCCTTGTAGTTTTACTACAATCCAAAATTAGCGTTTAGTTTACTATTAAGCCTTCTAATTATAAGCGTTAAAATTGGCCTGAATCATAACAAGGTGCAAGTTGATGACTGAATCTTCCTATGCAGTAAGGAAGGGCTGGAAACATAAAAGATGGTAATGATAACAGATAGCATGAAGCACTTCCTGTTCTTCTAACACATCTGTTTATTTCAGACTACTCTGGAGATATTTTTGAATGCTGTTCCTAGGATATTATTTTGGGAATTGTTAAACATCTTATAAAACACTTGGTTGGATTTAAAAATGTCTTGGTACTTAAAGCTTTGTTAGTGAAGGGTATGTGTTTCTCTTATACACTTTGTAAATGTTATTTCTGAAAAGGGAAAGAAAACAGGCTCCTAAAATTATCCAAGTTTATTTACCCTTTTCAGTCTGGATTATCCAGAAACTGCTGTAACTATGGGCACTCCAGACTTTAAAGGGTTCCTTCTTTTTTCTTTAAGGACTCTGCATCAACTGATGATATGTGGTAAAACTGCTCATCTAGCTGTGGAGTTCACGTTTCATCCTTCAAATGAAACTGCAGCCCAACCTCAGTTACCCTTCTTAACATCCATCCTCAGCGTTAATTAAAGAAGGGAATATGATGTGTTGGTGAGAGTGACAACAGCAGAAAACTACAGCAGTACGACGTCTAGCCCAGGAACTGATACTTTTTTGTAAAACAGACTTCTGTAAACGTGATTTCAAACCATAATTCATGTTGTAAATCAGACTCCAGCAATTTATGTTGTATGATTTTGTTTTTGTAAAGTGCAATTGTCTTTGTACAAAATGCTCATATTTAATTATGAACTGCTTTAAATCACTATAAAGGTTAGAAGAAATGTTTGGCTTGTGTGATGCAACAATATATATCCCTTTAAATACATGTTGTGGTTTTGGATTGCAAGGAGCAGCAGCCTAGCCAGCTAGGTGCTCGAGAGGTGCACAAAACTAAAGATAACTTTGTTTTATATGGAAGCTGAATTTTTGGGCAAGTTATCACAAATTACAGTGTGTAAATTTGCTTGGCAATGGAAAAATAACTAACAGAGTAGTGCACATTCTTCAACAAATGTATTTCTCTTTCTTGAGGCCACTCCTGCTCTCACGTTGAGCAAAAGCGAGTTCTGATTTTTGACTTCAGTGGGAGTTGAATCATACCCTATTAATAGCATCATGTGTTCATTCGCATACGAACCTTGGGAGTAGAATGGCTTGATTCTTCGCACCTCTTTTTTCATTAACCCTTACCTGAAATTACTAATCACTGAGTATGAACAGGCAACTTTCTACGTATGGTAGGAGTCTGCAGCATTTTTACAATCCTGATTGGCTGGGTCTGCTGCTGTTCCAAGTAAAATACTCTGAATTCCATTTTATCAATAAAGCTTGATTTAACAAACAAGAAATTTATCCATAAATGTGTAATTCCTTTTTTCCTGCCTTTTAAAATGTCAGTGCCATTGTAAATGATATTTCACATGTGGAAAAATATTTTTATTAATTGGTAGCCCATTTTTAAAATGGGAGGAATTTTGATTATTTCCCAAGACGTAGCCATATGCTAGAGGATGAAGTGGGAGTAATCTGTTACGCTGATTTTTTACAAGTGTGGGTTTTTTTCAGGCTTTTTGTTTTTCCTCCCCGCTGAAGATGTGCATTGGTTTGAATTTGCCTACTGTTTGATAAAAATACGTTTGTCAAAGCCTGACAATCTTTAACGTTTTATGGTGTGTGTTTTTAATTGACCCACTTAGGATGAGAGATTAGTGGTTAAACAGTACTTGTGATTTGAAATATAGCATGTTGACGATATTTACCTGTTGTTTAAAATTCTAATTTAAAATTTTATAAGATAATAAACTAATTTGATTTAAGCTTAGCTTTCTCCCATTGAACATATAAAATTAAGTTTTCAAGTCAGTCGTGTTTGCAAAACTACTGTTTTGTGCACCTTGTATTGTCTTTTTGGTTGAGAGTATTGTATTTAATATGTAGTTCACTTTATTCATTTAGTAGGCAGATTCTCCAAATAGGAAATCAGTAAAACAAGTAGATTGTAACATTTACTGCAGTTAAACAGAATCGAAACTTGGTGTATAATTACTTTTTGATATGAAAATGTAATATGATGCATTTTGCTATATTTGTCTTTCACTAACTTTGAAATATACATATTTGTATATATAGCCTTAAAACTAATACAGAGTTAGGGAACTCTGAACAGTGAAAAAGTAACTTATAGTGTCTTGGAACTAAGTATAGTATATACCAGCAAACTTTTCTTTTATCCCTCTTGTCTATGTGGGGTGCTTAACGTAACTTCATTGTATTCAGTTTGTAATCTGTTCAAGCATGAATGAAGAAAACATAAGCACTATTTGTATTTATAAATTTATAGCAATTTTTGCTTAAAGAACCAATTCCTTACCTACCTACAAATAAATGCTTAAAATGTCTAATTTTGTTGTAGAGTGCAAAACTATAATAATGTTAAGTTACAGCTTCACAGGCACCTAATTAACAAGCATATTTAATACATGGCATATTAGTACAGAAGGCTAAACTTAATTTAGGACTAGGCAGATGAAGTTCTGTCCTCTTTTTCATGTAGACTAAAGTTTAGTTTTGGAAACTGCAAAACCTGGAACTGGACCGTGGAAACTTTGAGTTAAAAAACTTTAAAAGTCACAGGCAAAACTGATGTAGAAAGCCATACTTCAAACTGTAATCACTTAGATTGTCTCACTGACAAATGCTATATTTGAAGCCTCTTCTTACGAGGTCTCCTAAAGGTTATAAAGAAAATAATTCTTCTGCTATGGCTACAAGCGCTGTAACTAGGTTTTGAGGGTAGTAGGAGAAGAAAGGCTGTCTCAGTCCTTTCTTCTGCTTACGTTCAGTGTTTTGATGAGGTCAGAGCACTGAATCTATTATGTATGCATAAACACTGCCATTTTAGATACAGATTTTGATGACGAAGTGTATGAATTAAGTATATAAAGCATCCTAGAGAAGAGGCAAGCTGTACTTTTCACTGCTCTGAAAAGAAAAAGGCACTTTTGCACCTTTGTGCATCTCCTTCTTGCACCAGAAACTTTTTTTTAAATGCTAAAAACATTAGCACCTCAGGGGCAAGGCAGCAATTTTTTTGAAGTATTGTGTGCTATTTATTTCCCTCTTGGAAAAAGATTCCTGTGTGACAAAAATGAAAAATGTGTGATGTTAAAAGATGTATTTTTAAATACATGTTCAAATAGGATGGTCCCAATTTGCTTGTTTTTTAAAAGGAAATGTTATTTGTAAAGCTCCTTTGGTTCATATGCCATGCAAGTTTCTGTTTTCCTTTTACATTTGACAGCTTCACTGGTTTCAGTTTCTGTGAGTCTTGTTATAGTCAGATTAAATGTTTCACTGATCATTCTGGGAAAATACCTGTACTGCTTTATAGACAACTGCTCAAATTATTCTCACTAATTCAGCATTGAAATGTGTTCAAGACAGAGGCTTTTAAAATGTATTTTAAAAAACATCGTTGGATTAACTAAATGTAATTACATTAAGCATGGTCCTAGACTTGCCAGGCTTTATAAGTCCTTTGTAGCAGTAGAGTCCTGTTACGCATGGTGGGGCAGAAGTATGCCTGTACCATGCAGGTTACAAAGCCAGGGCCTTTCTGGTTACAGAGCCGGCCAGTCTGCCAGGCGTGGTGGGGCAGAAGTATGCCTGCACCATGCAGGTTACAAAGGCAGGGCCTTTCGGTTGGCTTGCTCTTACCTAGCCAGGCAGTACCACTACAGAGAGCTTGGTGCTTGGCCATCATTCGTCTTAACCTTCCAGCACAAGTCAGAAACGGAGAGAGAAATTTCATCTGCTTGTCATTAAACTGCTGAATTGTGGTAATCCTAGGATGAGTCATACCAGCAAGATGCCTGAAGAATATTAACCAGCAGATGAGTAATTATAGCACTTTACCGCGATAGTTCATGCAGGTTCCAAAGCTGATCATTGAAAAACGTACTTACAATATTGACCATTGCAAAACGTCCTTTAGATTGTTTAACTGCAAGGCTGCTATTGCTCGGTTCAAGAATTGGAGACTTAAAAAGGTAATCTAACCAATTAGGGAACAGTTTTCATTGCAGCTAATTCCCTGGTAGGAATCTCATCTTACTTTGTTACACTGGGATAGGATAGACTCTAGTGCATTACATTTTTAATAGTTTGTGAACTAAGGATACTGTTTCATGGTAAATTTTTATTAAGCCTGAACTGTTGCCATAAGTCTTCACCTACTGCCCCTTTTGTAGCCGCGGTCGTGCTTGTGTGGCTGTGAAGTTAGGAACAAAAAATCCACCTTCAGCTGGATAAACTGATAATCCAGCTATCTAACACCAGTACCAGAGCAAGATACAGGGGGTGAAGACAGCTCTGAGAGCAAGGGAATGGTTGTACCAGCCCTTTTGCCACAATCTGGGAAACCGCACCCTAAATTCAGATAATTGTCTGACCTGCATAGGGAGTATCCATGCCTTTGCTTGCAGATTTTTTTCCACAGTAGACTTCAGACAAAGGTTTTGCTTTGGTGAATGTTATTTTTCTTAAAACTGGCTTCGTGAAATTTTGGTTTTAACGTCCTATATAGGAGTTCCATGCTGACAAACTTACTTTTTGTTAGCTCTCTACAAACGTAGGTAGTTCTGTCCTAAGAGATCAACAGCGTGGCTGCCACAATTAGGTTAGTGAAATGGTTGTTTTAGTTTACCTCATTTTAACGTGCATCAGGATTTCAACATGCTAAGATGTTCATCTTAATCTCTGCTTGCCACTTTCTTGAATTTTTATGCATGCTTGACTTGGTATGTTTAAATTTCGTGATATTTGAACTTGGCGTATCTGTAATCAGCTAACCATTAGTAAAATATTGCCCTTCATCATTTAACAAATACTGTATTTAATAAAAAACTGATGTACCTTAGGTTAAGAAACAGGGAAATGTGTAAAACTTTACCTGACAGTTTTCTATAGAAAATGGAATTACTCTGTGCCAAGCTTCATTAGGTGTAAAAATGATATCTTCTAGGTAACTAGTATAGCTCCTTGTCCCTACAGCTACAGATGTTTGAGATGATCGTAACCTGAGCCTTTACATACCAGTACAGGACTATGAAGTCTCTGGCTGGATAGAGGTTTAATTCTTTAGTTGGTAAAAAGAGGCTCCATGCATGTGAAGTGCCAGGATGCTGTAGTGCATGAGTCAAATGCTATTTTGGCTGTGAACCGCAAAACCAATGTAAAAACTGAGCAAAATTTGGAAGTAAAACCTGGCATAAGTCCCTTTTACTGACCAGCCTATGGTATATTGCTCAAAGCATCTCATCTTGTGGTGAGCTCTCCCTGAACTGTCCCATACCAAGTCCACAGGTCTCTGCAGACTTGGGCCTCCACCTTCTGATGCTCTTTGCAGTCCTTATTTTGCTAAATTTTTATTGCTTTGTAAAAGGGAGAGCAGTAACCTGGGCCATGGCATTTGTTCACAGAAGTTCAAGAAGTTGCAAGAAAACTGTTAAAAACCTTTCTTTACATTGACCATTAGGTGCTTTCAAATAGAGAGTGAACATACAGCATGCTAAAGTTGAGTTTATGTATTCTCCCACTGAAAACTTCCAGAGAAATCTCCAGATGTTTCTACTATTTACTTTTAATATGTGAAAAAAGGGTCGAATTGCATAACCTCCTGATAGTGTCTTAAGTCGTTGACCTATAGTGAGCTAGGTTTAATGCATATTCCTGTTTGGGTTTGGTTTTATTTGTATTATTTGAGGTTCCTTTTGATGAGCTGTAAAGCATTTTTTCCCTCATGTTGACACTGTGCTAAGGTCCTTACTTCCAAGCTACGAGACTAGAGTGATAATCGTGTCTTAGGAAATTGGGGTTTGGGATGAGACTTGCTTTAAATACAAGAGGAAAACCCTAGCCTTGCAACCACAAAATTTGGGAAAGTGGGCTTAATTTTAAAAAAATGCCTTTTATAGGATTAATGAAATAGTTTTATCCTGAATGATTTGAAGCTTCAGTAGAGGTGGGATGATAGGTCAGATTTCTAGCATGTTTATTGTTTTACATATAGCCAGATTTTCACATTTAACTCATTTTGATTACTGCCTGAATGCTTTTTAAAATATCACTAGATATCTACTTTTTTAAAATAAAACCGATGGTGCTTACTACTGTGTAACCAGTAATTTATTTGCAACAGTGAGTATTAAGTCAGGTAGTAGCATTTTCCTTTAAGAGCACTACCTCTGCAGTACTCAAGTCGCTTGATGGCATTGAGCCAAAACTGTAATTCACTCTTGCTTCCATTGGTTGTATGGCTCTGAAGAACTGATGGGAGTTGTTTTGTTTTTTGGTTTTTGGGGTTTTTTTTTTTTACAGCCAAAATAGACAGGATTCTCAATATATATTGTGAGTAAGCCTCCAGAGTAAAGGAGGTCGCCGTTATTTCTTTTGAGAAGCCATACATTTGTAAAGAAAATTGATAAAGCTGGGGCTGGCAAGTCACAAAACATTATCTTATGTCACTGCCTGTAGATTGAGGTCTTCAGGGTGTAATTTTCCTTGTATTGCTGAATTCAACTCAATTTGAGCAAAGGGAACATTTTCCCTGTTGGGATTTCAGGCCAGAACGTAATATTTGTGTTTGGACTAGAGGAGAAAATTGAAATAAGATGATCTTGAGAAACTCAGGCATATATTTAACTTCACATCTTACTGAAGTTGATGGAGCTTCACTCACAATATATAAAGTTTTCACATGTATAGTTGGAGACTCACCTGTCCTATTTTTGTTGGAATTAGAAAGAAATGTAACCTATTCAGTTTTGGTGTTGAAAAAGACTTTCTGGGCGGCTAAAGGGGAAGAAGATGGTAGTGTTAAAGCAAAATGTTAGCTTAATGGAAAATAACAATTTCCTAACTCTTTAAATATGTAAGACAGCATTATTTTTATTTGAAAACGTTGAACACAATTTATGAATTTCATTCCTTAATGTGGTGCTTTTAATTTAAAAAAATAAATACAAAGGTGGAAGCCAAAACGAGTTGCCTGGGATGGGGAAGTAAGGAGGCCCTAAATCTGTGGGAATAATGTGCTGAATTTATATAGCAATATTTCCATGTCTAACGATAGACCTATTGAAAAGATCTGTATTGGTGTGTTTAGGGGAACTTTTATTCTTGTTGAATATTTGATGCTACGCTGTCAAGTCTGCTGCAGTTTGAAACTTCCAGGCTTTTAAATTGGGAATTGGGCATTATACAGTAGAGTCCCTGGTACCTGAAATGCTGCAATACCTCTTACCACGCGTTCTGGGGGCTCACCCCATGTAACCATTTGATGCTGGAAGTTGGGATTTCCTAGCATACGTTTTATTGCTGGTATTGCAGTTCACCATAACCTTGAGTACGGAGAGTTAAGTTGAATTTATTAACCAGATCTAACTCTTTGGTGCCAGGAATCTAGTTTTTAGGGTTAGCGCTAAACTGTGCAAAAGTTTGTCAGATAGTGCTAGATAGGTCAGTGTATGGGAAGCTAAACCACCAGTGACAAAGGGTTGATAAGAGACAAAAGTCTAAATTCTCTTAGCCAGGGAGTACTGGATATTTGAAAGGTGTGAAGTCAGGTGTGATTTCCAGAACTGGCTGCTTTATAAATCTTTCAAAGCAGAGATTTTGGTTTTTTAGCATCTGTCTTGTTACTAAGACCGTGTACAAACATGCTGAATTAGAGAGTTTTCACCTGTCTCCTCACAGAATTGACTCCACATCATATCATCAAAGTCTCATTTGTAGTGACATGCTGTGCCTGTCTTTTTAGAAAATTCATGACCTCTTTATATCTATTTTGTGGAAAGTGTAACTTTTTCATTGATGACCTGTATAAATGTGTGTTACGAATGGAGAGATTTAAGCTTGAAAAGCATGTTTGCAGAATACACAGCTTCATTATGGAATTTATAAATTTAACAGAGTAATATACAAGAGCAAAACTATTTTCCTTAAGTAGAATGTATAACAATATATAATAAATTATTCTCCACATAGTTCACCCACTCTTTACAGTTTTACACAATTCAAACTGTGTGTTTACAGAAAGTTCAATAAATGTATATTTTGTACTATGTACAGATTCCTGGTCCCAAAGAAAATGTGTGAACTTAGTTTCTAACTTAACTTTTGAGATTGTACTTTTTTTTTTTTTTTGGTTTGGAATCAGTTGAACAAACTGCATTATGCCTGTTGATGGTGGAGGCTTGCATTTGGAGTAAGTGGGAATTGGAAATATTTCTAATCTACAGGAGTGATTCCACTAAATAAAACAGGCATTACATCGTGTTGTGTGTATTTGAGTGGTATGCTATAAACCTGTTTTATTGTCACTAAATTACAAGCTCTTTATCAGACCTCATTCAGTTTTCCAATTCAAGCTCACTTTATTAAAATGGCATATTGAGTGCTTGTTTTGCCCATTTCGTTAATCATAGTAGTAAAAATCCCTCTCTTACTGTTTTTCGCCTTACGGGCTGAAATTCCAGGACAAAGCAGCATGCACCTGGCTACAGCTGGGGTGTTCCCAAGAGACAGCCTGGTCTGGGGATTTCTAAGGAGTTAGGGATGAAGGTGCCCAATTTTGGGAAATTTCAAAGTGACACAAAATATATCATCTGTCCTGGTTCAATACTTTAAAGGACAGGACTGGCTTTTGTAGTGTAATTTATAGAATTTAAGGATGACAAAGTATTAAGTAAGTCCTTTCACTGGTTTTAGCCTGTACGATAGACAGAGAACTGGTAGACTTCTGACATTTGCTGTCAGCGGAGGGGGCGGGAGGGTGTTTTGTTACCACCAGCAAATTTGTCCTCTAAAGATTCAGCACAGTCCCTTTAGGGATTGAAAAGTGAAACTACTGAGTAGCAAAATAAAGGAATATTTTCTGTGGGTTAATAAAATTGAATTGCTATGTACAGAGGAATATTCGAATGATTATTAACCTTATTTCACTCTTCATGTGGAGCAAACACGGGAAACAAAACATATCCCTTGGTTTTCTAGCTCAAAGCTTATAAAAAGAATGTTTTATCCCCTCTATTTGGAAATTTGTGGCGGGGTGGGGGGGTTCCCTCAAAGGTGAAGAATAATACATTTTCGAATAGCACTGTTTGTTCATTTCAATTTTTTTCTTTTTTTTAATGCTTGACAGGTAATAATAAATTTGAATGCCATTCTAGGTGCTTTGATGGAAACATTCAGCTAACTTAAGATGTTCATTGTGGCCATATTCAACTGGACAGCCTTTTACCTTGGCTAATTTAAAAGAGGTATAATACTCCCTCTAAGTCATTTAACTTTGTTTTCAATTCTGGATTTTAGCAGTTTTAAAGAGATCAATCTAATGCAATGAGATTCTGAAGGAATGAATGTGAATTTGCCAGCAAAGTGAAAAGTATAGTTTACAGTTAGCGGTACAAATAATTAAGGCTATTATCCCTGCAAACATGCATACACAAGATGAGTTTCTGTGAGTAGAGTGAACTCAGTATGTGCCTCGTATCTGTGAGCTCACAGGGCAGGGAGTTCATCAGTATGACTAGTATTCATATCTTGACCACGTTAATTTGCAATAAAATCATCAATTTTATTCCAAACTTCACAATATTTTTACTAAAAGTAGACCTTACAATTATCTCCAGCCTCTCAAAGATCCTACTTATGAGTCACAGCTGACTTTCTTATGGGAAAGATGTATTTTCTTTCCCCATTAGCAACATTTTCTGGTGTTCATCCTCTACTTTAAGAATAGGTTTGCTGGCCAGGTTTTTAATCCTATTAAACAGGACTCAAAACTTTGCTCTGACCTACTTGTCCTCAATTAAAAATTTGCCGAATGCATGTTTAAACCAGCGAGTTTTCTTTGTATGGTAGAGGGGATATGAATTAAGCCTAAGTAGCTCTGTGCGTTTTCTTGCTTTTAACTCTACTCCTTCATAATGTAGTAGAAGTGTCCGTGCCCTATGCAGCCGAATCTCTTTAGGAAGTATCATCTTGCCAAAGCTGCGTCATGGCTCTTCCCCTTTGCTCTGAAATAGTATCGCAGAGTTTGCTGCTGGCTCATGAATACCAAGTCTAATTTGGTGAGAAGTTACCTTCCTCTGACATTTGAATACTGTCCCATAAACTATAAAAAGATGTTGGATGAAACAGCTGTGTATGACTTATTTCAACAAAATAAGGTATGTTACAAGCGTGCAACAGAAGGCATTCAAGGAGACAAAGTCTTTTTTTGGTCTGTTTTTAAAATAACCTGTGTTATCCGTAAACTCAGGTCTGGACAGTAGGAATAGGATTTTGACATGGATGACCTCTGTGTCTTTTCTTTTTCTAAAGGGCCAGAAAAATTTCAGTAATTCTGTAGAATATAATATATTGCTTTTGTAGTGCCCAACACCTGCCATGGATATAGCGAGAATCTACGACTTGCAGAATAGAAAGTGACACAATCAATCAAAATCAGTCTTAATCCTTTTCCTCCGCATTATAAGTATGCCTAAGAGTTCTCTTCAGAGATTTTTTTTGCTGTCATTGCTGTTTTTTCTTACTTTGGGGATTTTAATGTTGACCTTCAAGTATCTATCTTAGCTTGCTTTCCTATTCCAGTTCCATACAGTCACCTAAGTCACCCTCTAGTTGCTTGTCGTCAACTCCCGGTGATGAATTGGGGGTCGCCAGGATTTGAAGAACCAGTTTCAAGGAAAAAAGAACACAGAATGCTGTTTTCAGAAGACTTTTACTGAAAACATTAGCAATGGAACGTACAGAATGAGTCCAAATAGTATAATGCAAATATTTCATTACAGAAGTACATTAGCATGATGATCTTATAATCTTAGAACTTACAGTTTCAGTATCAAGATTTTTTATTCTTCTATTAAAAACAGTAATGGGTGGCCAGCCTAATAGGGCTGAATCTTACCCCAGTTTCAGACATTAAGCTGGGCGTGAGGGTCTCAACCTTCAGCCTAATTTTTGTATTCCCTAGTTAGACAAACCAGTAAGGTCTTGTTCTGTGGTTGATTCTTGCTTTGCATGGGAAAAGCACATTCCTTCCGCTACCTTCTGCACACACCTGATTGCTTTGATTCTTCTTCCCTAACCATCTCTTTTTGGCCTAAAGCTTCTAGAGCACTCTGTAGAAGTCTATAAATTCTCTAAGTATTATCGTATCCCCTCTTGCCTTTTCTGTGTACATTTTCAACTTTTTTATATATTAGGGATAGTTTGTGCTTTCTTGCTCCGACACCTGGTCTAACAGAGTTTGAGGCTCTTAGATACTGCTAAAAAGCTGCAATCTTTCTATTGGCTGTACCGGCAGCCAGTTTGTGCTGTAGTATGAATACCTTGGCTCAGCTTATCTGACAGCACTTAGGCATTTTTTGCATTTCCACTCAGTAGGTCTCGTGCTGGCAAAATCCTACAGCGTATGATGAGCATTAAGGCCCAGCTGAAGCCAGCGAGACTCTCATGTGCTTAGAAGTAAGCCCTTTCATATGGTTTTGTGGCACTGAACCCACCGTTCATTTCCTCTGCTGTTGCTATCGGTCTTTATAAAAGAAAGGGAAACAAAAGAAAGTGCAATTGGACAGACTACATCAGCAAAGAAAATTAATGGAGCTACTTTTGACCTTTTTTTTCTTTTTTGACTAAATCTTCAGTATTGCTTGATTTCAAAAGGTTTTCCACTGCTGCCTGGAACATGTGTTTAGTCTACTGAGCTGCTGCTGAAGTATCACATTCTCCTTTTTTAAGAACGTATACTTTTCAACAATGTAGTGCCTATGTCCCAATTTTATAAATTTTCTAGAAGCGGTTGGCTCAAACCTTATTCCCAGTTCCTTCACCTCTATTGCTTTTTAAAAGGTTTTAGTAAGATGTTTAGCATAAATATCTTATTAGTCTTTCACGCACTGATAGAGAGAGCAGACCCAATGCGTGTCTATGAACAACCAAGTTCTCCTGCTCTAGTGAGGGCAACCAAAGCAGCTGTAGGAGGCTGTTTCCTCAATTGTAACGTGGTAAGACTAACCTTTCTATGTCTACGGGAGCATCATGAATGCTAATATGTATAAGGTTACTAGCTAGTGCAAAATGCCCACATGGCAGATAAATCAAAGTCCAGCTGTTTCGTTTGCTGTCAAAATCACATTGCCTGGTTCTCTCCTGTGTTAGGAACCTTGCTCAGAGGCAGCAAAACACTTTGTTCTCATGCTTTGGCTGTGGCATACACTTTCTAAACAGAGCAGCTTTAACTGCACAGTACTTAACAAATCCTGAGGTGTGGGAGCTTATGTGCAAAACAGGAAGCATTGGCAATTATAGCTACCAGATGAAACTAGCCTCGTTTCACCACTCCTGATTCTCCTGTGCTTCTAGCTAGAGAAAACCTTAAGACAAAGACACTGGGCAGCCCACCCCTCCAGGCCAGCTGTCTCTTTTGACATATATTTCATTAGGCAGTTGTAGTTGCTGAATTACACATGTTCTTTGCCTATTACATGGTGACCCCTAGCACAGCTGGTGATGTTTTTTTTTTTTTCAAAAGGGGAGGAGGACGAACAAGAATCACCTATTTTGATCTCATGGGGATCAAATCTTTATGGAAAGAAAACCAGTGGTTTCCACGTCTGTGCCTGATCTGAGGAAGAATGGCTGGAAGGGGCTATTGCTGCAGGTTCTCCCTCGTGCTAGCCACCGTGAGGATCTTAGGCCAGAAAACCTTACAATTATTAGCTCAGAGAAGATTTAGCTGTTTTCCTTTGGACATGCATAGATAGGGTCATTGACTCCATTCAGCTGAAGGCTTTCTATAATCGATTTTCAAAACAGGCTGAGGTCGTTGCATTCGGTGCCCTAAGGCATCCCAAGGATTTGTGTATGGTGTGCTTTGACCTGATTCTTTTCTCCTCCTCTCTCCCAACATCCTGAAGTAGATTTGCTCTGCTTTGTTGTCCTTTGCAAGCATCTGGCGGTGGGGCAGTAGAGATTTGATGTGATCTTTTAATTAATTCATAGAAGTTGACATGTAGAATGTGCTTTTGTCTTTCCACCACCCAGCCTTTGGTGTCATTGACCCAAATTACAGCCCTGATGGGGCCTTTGCATGATGTGCTCAAACGGCTTGGGCCTGTTCTGGCAGCACATTCACAAAAATGTTTATGATGCCACAAGACCAGACCATGGGTTTCTAAGAGTTAAAGAAAATAAATGTTCTGAGTACTGCTCTTTGTTTCTTAGCAAGATAAAGAGCTGAATACATTGCTTCCCATAGATCCGTGGTCTC